CTCTTTCTTTGTGGCCGCAACTTCTTTCCTTCGTCTCTTTAGAAGGGCATGACATTCTATGCTTTAAATTCAGCATGAGTTCATATGAGATATGCGAGAGAAAAGCTCGGCGGAAAACCGCAACAGCGGTTACAAAGCGCCAATTATAAATGTAAAGTGTTATCACCCACAAGTTCTTAACTTAGCATGCATAAAGCAGTGTGTGCCATCGCTCTTATATACCGACCGAAAGGCTTACTGACGCCACTGCGCAGTTCTAAAAATTTCTCTCGATATCGTATATTCGATTCACGCAGTCTGGTATGTGCTGGAGCTGTTAGTCTCTTCCTTTTAACATTTTTAGTATACATATTTGGAGTGAAATTTGGATTACCTTGTGGACGCTTAAAGCAAAAGCACTATATTCTTCACCGTTCCCTATTCAATTTTTATTGAAGCGATAAGGAAAAAATCATAACTGGATTAAAATGAATTGTAAGCTTTATGAGTATCCTCTTTACATATTTTGTATAGTGCCAAACTGTGTTAATGTTCATATGCATAGCATCCACTGTATCAGGCTTTATCTTAGCCGAACAGGAAACCACAGCACACTCCCACATATACATCTACTTTGTCACTGAGACTGAGTTTTCACTATTCATTGTGCTATTTACTCAGTCATGTAGAAAGCCTTAAGATATTCCCTTTCACACAAACCAACACACACACACACACACATGCATGCGCACACATATATACGCACACACAAAATTTTGTACGCCTTCATATTTGCGATAAGTTGATTGATCTCGTAAAACTTTGCCTTGCCTTCCTTCCTAATTAATATTAATTGCTGTAACAGTTTTGTTTTCGGAATGTTGGGAGACAACCTTTCATTAGCGCAAGCAAATACGTACACATGTAGCTCCTTCTTATATGCATATACGTTGGCTCAGCTATAACTCACATGTTGTGAGCATACTCATATACAGGGTTTTCCAACAAAGGTCTTATTTGAATAGACTTTTCTCCGGTATGTGCGCATCTGTCAATACTTAATGAGTTCTTATGGCCGGAATCGGGTAGTATTGATATGGAAAACGTCCACTCAAGCAGCAGCGAAACCTTCGATATTTTAAGGGAAAAGTTTCCGGACTATGTTACCTCTCGAAGAGGTAACTGCAATTGACCAACGATATATATTCGATATATTGTCATTTAACAACTTGAGACTTCTACTTTTGGGGCCACGTGAAAGAAAAGTTCTATGGCTACAGACCTATGTCAATTCAATACCTTAAAAATTGAATACGTGAAGCTATTGAGGGCCTATAGCAGCTAGTTTGCGATTTTGTGAAGGAAAATTTCATATAAAGATTACGGTACTATTTGCGTAACCGTGGCGGCCAGATGTATGTGATAAATTTCTCAGAAAAAGTGGAAGAAAAAACCAGCCATTTTAAGCTCATGCGGTCTCGAAATGGGCAGTGACAGATCACAGCCCACAAGCAACACATACGAACAGAATGAGCCTTCGTAGCAGTGGCATATGTAGGTAGTAGAGGAATGGTAAAGAAGCTGGAATCTCTCCGCTGCTTCTGATGGGTCTTATGCACTCCTCGTCTTATAAGCTTCACAGCTCAAAGGACTAGATGAAGTATCAAAATTTGATATAAAGATCCTCCTAAATTTTACAAAAAACGATGGCTTCCTACACGTTGAGAGGACTAGCAGATCTAAGGAAAAAAGGTTCGTCTAAGAACAGACAACGCGGCATGTAATAAAATGGTCGAAATTTCATCCATTTTCTCTCCCTTTTTGAGCATACACACCACATTATTTTCACAGTACTGTAATGTGTTGAGTCGTACACACTCATTTGTTATTGTTTCTCACGCTTCCTGCAGCTGATTAGCAATCGTGCACAAAAACAATACTTGAATATAGCCGTGCAGACGATGATGATGATGGAGGATACCTGCTGGCTGTAAAGTACGCGTTGACATTTCTGTTTCCGCCGATGGCATAAAATTATGCACATAAACACTTCACACTTCGTGACTTTGTGCTGGGCAAACGGGTAAGATGGGTAGCAAATACATGTTAATAGTTGGGCATTTCAATGTGACTTTCTTGGCATATTGCTTATGCCAAAATATAAACCCGTGTGTATGTTTTATGTTTATATGAACTTCAGAAATGTCAAAATTGTTAGGAATTAGAAACTATTGAGAGGAGATGTGGATGACAAGTCGAGACGAATGGGTCTGGAATTGAAAGAGGAGAGGGAGAAATATATGCTGCCGTCAAACAAACAATCATCGAATTTGCCACGCGGCTCCTTGTCACTGTTGATAGTCATAATAATGAAATTGTAGATAATTTTGGCTATCCTTTCTTTTGAATGCTCTAAAACACCCCGTCGCAGTATCTGCCAGTGGATGAAGCTTGAGTGATCAGGTGTAGAGGGACCGTTAACTCGGCCATAATCACTTAAGTGGTATCTTGTACAACATAAAATATATAACCAAAGAAGTGAAGAAATAAATGAAGAAAAAAATAGGAGTAAAATAATGAGAAATATGATTCGATAAAAGAGTATAAATTTGTGCCTTAGCAAATAACTTGACCCATTAAACCCACTTTATTCGGCCTTGGCTTGCCTTGCCGAATTCTTAGTACCTTTCATGACCATTTCAAAATTACATTTATTTTTTATTTCACTTTAGAATTAAATATAAATTCTCATATCTGAGAAAATTGTGTGGGGGACTTTCGACGGCAATATTTATTTGTAGACACGATTTAAAAATATCAAATTTCATACTCTTTAATGCTTTTTGACGAAAGCTTTTTATCTGAAAAAATCAGTGTACAGGAGCTCAAAGTTATGGTCGACCGATTACCGATTTGGCGGCAAAGTGTAATCTATCAGATTTGTACGCAATACAAAGTTTTGCAATCGTGAATCTGGCTGCTTGAATGTTATTGTGGTTCGGTCTGGCAAGTCTGCATCAACAGTGTGTACCGGGTTGGGTACAACAATGAAAACTCGACGTGTGAATGCTTAATTAAAATGACGAGCTTATTTTCTGTGGCTGCTCAAATTTACTCAGATTGTACTTTCATTAGCTCAGTAAATTAATTAGCTCCTTCCGAGGTTCAAAGTTTAAATTTTTTTTTTATAATTACTTTGTGGCTCTAATCTACTAATTCCTTCTTCATCATTGGCTTGGGCACCGCTTAAACGATTTATTCTTTCTTTCACTATTTTGTGCCAGCTGAAAATAGCAAGTGAAACCTGGTCACATCCACCTGATCCTTCCGGCGGAGTAGAAATCTTCCTCCTTCTATGCCTCCCCCAGCAGGCACTGCATCGAATGCTTTCAAAACTGTAATGCTTTGATTCGTTCGTACGACATAACCTAGCCTCTCCTATACATTGTTTCCTCATTCGCTGAACTCATCTTATAGCTCGTGCAGCTAAACATTCCTCCGTCTGCGGTATTCGCCATAGCAAATGCTCAAAAGACTACAAATTGTTTAACTTTAACTCGAAGTCTTCCTGGGCCGACTCATCACATGTCGAAATCGTCTGGGCTTCTGCGCCATATGGTAAGACAGGAATGATGAGTGACTTGAAAGCTTAGTTTTGATTTGTTGAGAGTGAACTTTACTCTTCAATTGCTTACTCAGGCAGATAACACGATCCGGATTAGTTTCCTTTAAAAGAGGAATGGTTTCGTTGCTTTTGCGGTACGTAGCGCCGTCTTGTTGAGAGTAAATGTTGTCTAATCCCGGCTGTAAAAACCATTAATCATTCAACGTAACTCTTGCTATAACCTCATTTCCGAAAAAATAAGATCCAATGATTCCGCTAGACCATAACCACCCCCACCAAACTGTAACACGTTGTCGATGGAGGGGCTTTTCAACATCAAATCTTGGGATTTCCGTGCGCCCGTTGCGACAGTTTTGCTTATTGACGTAGATATCGAAAGGAAGAAAGTTCATATTCGCATTGCACTAGAAACCCTGAGAGGAATATATAATATTGCGAAAAATCACAGCGCCACATTTTTCTGCCTTATATTGTAGGACATGCGTATTGTTATGTAAAAATTATTTTACGAAATTTAAAGGTTAAAGTTCTTGGCGAGTACGCAGTGGCAGGAGGCGATATCGGATGATCTTATTGTTTTTATTTACGTTCGTTTCAATTACTGACATTGTTTTTCTTTTGTTTATCCTTGATGTTGTTTATTATGTTTATTTTAACGGTAATATGTATTGTGTTTTATTTATCTTGCGATGTTTTTTTCTTTGCCTACCCTCATTACTTAAAATGTTTTTACCCAAAGTTCTCCTTGTACTATGTTTGTATGTAATCTTTTCCGTTTTTCGTTTTGGAATGTGTTGGCAGACTCTTCTGTTAGGCGTTCAATATACAAACAAACATATATTTTTCATGAGTATGAAGGTTTTGCTGAAAGATATTCAATATTGCTGACTTTCGCATTAAAAAATTTGTTTCAATATTTAAATGTTGCTTAGAAGAAAAAGTTGTCTAAACTTTCCTTTCTTCTATAGCAAGAGAGTATAAAATAATTCAAATATTCCATGCTGCCTTGGCATAAAATACGCATTTAATGCGCGTTACGTAAATATTTCAAATGTATTTCACTCATTCTCTTTGCTTCTTTACATAATTTCTATTTTGCCACTCCATAAGCACATTTGTGATTTTATTGTTGTAGGTAAGGTTTTCACGTGAATACGCGAGCAGCCTGGTGACATTGTGTTGCTGTCAGCAGAAAACTGTCAAATTGTGCTGAAACTGACATTTTGTGATCTCATTGAAATTGAAATTTCCACTTTTCTAATTGGAGGAAATCTTGATTTTTTATTAATCCTGCACTATACACACATATGTATGTATGTATGTATATATTTATAACCTCTATTATTAATGTGTAAGCTATTCTTTTTATCTAAATAAATATAATTTAAACATTCACCTGTTAGTTAAATGGATTTTGCTGTTATTCACGATACGCTCATCTGTAAGAAAAATGGAAAAAGAGAAAAACCGAATATAAATACATACATTTATTAAATATTTTTATAAAAAGGTGTGTGAGAGCATCTCTGGTGTAGTGATTTAAGATAAACAACGATTTTCTATACACTGCTAATGGTAAAAATCAGACCGATAAAGGTTGGAAAAAATCAAATTCAATATTAAAAAAGTAAGAAGAGCTGTCTATGGTCTTGTCTTTATACCTTTCATGACCACATCAAATTTACGGTACTCTATTTCAGGATTAAATAGTAGTTTACGCACCCGAAAAATCGGTTGAGTGCGGTTATCGTCTTCCGACATAGTTGATTTTTTTTCCTGTAACTCTCATGCTTTAAGAAGTTTTTTCGACTTACTTGTTTCATACAAGAGCTGTATACATTGAGACTACAAAGTTTCCGGAAAATGTCATTCAAAATATTTTTTCAGCATTTTTTTTTTTTTGTTAAGTAGAAAAGTTGAAATTAGTCGACCTCAATTCCCTCTGCAAATTTTCTTATGCGAGCACAACGAATCGAAACGGGTTCCACTGAGTTGTAACTTGAGTTTTGGATACCAAAAAATAAGTCGCATGGCGCCAAATACGGTGAATACGGTGGTTAATCGATGGTATTGTACGAGTTTTTGGTCTTAAAATCGTTCACAATTACAGCGCGGGACGATGGTGCATTATCGTCATGGAAAATGCATGAATTGTTGACCCACAATTCAGGCCGTTTACGACTAATGTTTTCGCGTAAACGCCTCAAAACGCTCTAATAATACTCTGTATTGGCCGTCTTTGACGTTGGAATGAATTCATGATGAACCAAATCGCTGGTATTGAAAAAAATATATATATCCGGAAACGCTCCAGTCTTAATGTATGGTACAGTAGTCTGAACTAGTCGGTTTTGACAAATGATTAATTCAGTATAAGAATGCAATTGCTTACCAAGTTTTGTTGAAATATCTGAAATATTGAAGGGTGCAACCTGCGTACTAACAAACAGACGGACGGGTAGACTGACGGGCTTGGTTAAATTTTCTCAATTCGGCTTTCTCATCATAACGTTATGAATTTTGATGGATCTATCTCATCTCCATCTGGTAGTTACATACCATACCTCGAATTAATGTTAATACGAAATTTTATTATGGTTAATTTGAATTTTTTTTTAAAAAATAATTCTTCCTAGATATAATGCTCTGGCTCCAGCGTAACTTTTCAGTATTTGACACGACCTTCAGCTCTTTTCGCTAATCTACTGTATCGTTACAAAGCCCACTTCTTTTACAGGTCTCTTAAGTCGTGGGAACCGTACTCCGAAATTTTTTTGATTTCTTTTCTTTTCGGTTTTTCCATCGCTTCGATATCGCTGTCAATGCTCATGCGACATTATTTTTGGTGGAAATTTAACCATGGTAAGCACCGAGCTTTCCTACATGCCCAAATATGGGCAATGCATCTGACGGCCGCGTTCTGAAATCGTTGTAAAAAATGACGAATACATATTTTTTAAAGGTTTTGTCATTATTGCATTGCCCCAATAGTCCCCTTAATGTTAGAGCACCAACTCATTCAAGTGGCCGCGGTTAGCCTTGCAGTAACCCATTCCGTTCCGGCTCATTTTTTCAACACATTTTTAATTCTGTGGCCCCTATGGCTGCAATAGCGACTTCAATTACATGTTTAATGTCAGAAATCGTCTCAGGATGTAGGCGTAGCAATTTTCTTTAGCGGCTCCTTATAAAAAATTATGCAACGAAATCAAATCCCAACTGCGATGTGGCCTTGACATCACCATTTCGACTAATTATAAGATTGTAGAGTCCATTGGGCAAAAGGACAATTAGAATCTTACTTGTACGGTATGTGTCGCCATTTTCTTGAAACTACGCCACATCCATGTCATCCTCTTTGAAATTTCGAAGCAAATAATCACTGCGCATGGTAATAGACGGTATTGACGGTAACGGTAGTACCTTCCTTGTTTTTTTTACAAATAATAACCAATGCTGCCACGGTTAGTTTTGTCGACGAGGTGAAATTGAATTTAATAGGAAATAATTATTTTTCGTTAAAAAGAAAATTGTTCTGCCAAACGATCTTTAACTCACACATGAGGCTTTACTTCTTGCACTAATTGGAATTTTTAAACCTTAATACCAAGGCTTTTATGCAAAATCCTTCCCAAAAACGACGCGTAAGGTTTATTTCCTACGGATGATGTCAAGTTAATGTTGATGGCTTCGGAGGATGCTTTGGGCTGCAGCAACAATATTTTTCTTTGAGCGCACTGCCCCATATAAAACCAATTCTGATTGAGTAATTGCCTGGAAAGCGCTCGTGAAGACTCACAAAATTTATACTAACTACTCAGTAATAACAAATGTACTTCAAGATGGTGTAGCTCTAATAACTCGTAGCTCACGCAAACGTATGCTGAAGACGATTGTACCAACATCACAAAATTGGAGTTAATTAAATTAGGAAATTTATTTTTTGCCTCTTGTGAACCGAAACTTTTTTTAGATAGTCCCGCCAATACCCAAGCTTACATACACCACATCCTGGGCATAGCTTAGGCCACCAGGTGCCTGACCATAAACGCCATATTTCCTTTCATTACACCTTTTCAATAAAAAATAACAAAAACGTATTTTTTCTAAAACAACAATTTTACAAAAATATGACAAAAAAGAGACGTCAAATCAATAATGCCATTGTCAATATGTCACGCAGCCGACGAAAGGCGCGTTGATAGAATAGCCAAGAGGCGATACTCACGCTGCTAATACCTTCTAAGCCAAGTGACACATTTGATTGGCAAGCTACCAATCGGAAAAAGTTAGCTAAAAAGTGGAGTTTTTTCCGTATTAATTTCACACCGTAACCGCGTGTTGTGTAAAAACAAATGTAGAAATAAATATGGGTGGAGTTATGGAAATAGTGGAAATAGACAACAAACGGCTACATACATACACAGGTATACATACAAATGAGTTCAGTTATCAAAAGAGTTTACACTGAACGAATAAAGTTTGCTTTTTCAAAAGATTTACACAAATTATGCAATCAGGCGAGGAGAGATGAGAGACAGGAGAAACGTGAAAGCTGTGCCAAGTGCAGTACAGAATATCAGATAATTCATAGATACAAATACATATAAATATATTATATTCATATAGGAGAAGTGGGGAAACTTTGTGGAGACACGCACTGCTCCTTAGTAAGTTTGTATGTATGTAAATATGTGAAAAAGTTTGAAAACACTTTTTAGCAACGCAAAATTTTCAGCTGAAACCAGTATTAAACTAAATATTGCATATTACCATTTTTCCGCTGCTTCGTCCGTATGGAAGACCAGTTATCAAAAATTTCGATACAAAATGGAAATCGTCGAGTCTGAACGTCATGCGAAGCACTTTCTTGATTGTTCAAGAGTTTAGCCATGTTTAGCGCAAAAACAGCTTGGAGCCACTGGAAAAAGGCTGGATACACAAGAAAGCTCGATGCATCCGTACCAAGTGAGTTAACGAGAAAACAACCTCATGGAGTTTTGAGTTTTCATCTGTGAATCACTATGGAATCATAAAAAAACCGACCGATTTCTGAAGTAGATGTAGCCTGGTGATAAGGAGTGAGGGGATCATTTACGGAAATGGACATGGCCGAACGGTAGTGACCTGGCACACACGGCCTCCATGCCAGGATTGACGGCCGTTAAAGTTTTTTCAGTTGTCTCTCGGCAGGAAATGTCAACCTCTCCAGTGTGTTTCTGATATGAAATGAATCTCCTCATCAAACAAAAAAACCATCAGCCTTTCGGAGGCGACTTAGTATAAACTTTAGGTCCGTCCAAACGCAAATTGGAGTAGGAACTCAATCGGTTACAAAGCGCCATTATTTATATATAATGTATATATATATCCATTTCTGATTCCCTATAAACACCCAACTTTGGTCAGCAAGATAAGAATTTTGTTCCATGAGAAATCGCTAGAAGTTCTGAGAGTTTAGTTAGAAGGTTCTTATGAGTCCACTTTGTTGTCTGTTCCCGTCTATTGCTAATGATATGACTGGTTAAGAATTGGCCTTGAGAGAAGCCTGTTCCCAAGTTTTTCCCAATGTGCACAAGAGTTTCTATGAGAGAGCCAAAATGCCATTATCTTTGATATGCGAAGAAATTTCGAGCAAATCAGATAATTCTAAGTAGGTGAATTTTTCCAGTTCTCCGTGTTCTATGTTCCAGATTTTACGCAAATCAAAAGTCTGGAATTATTGCAATTTTTTCTAATAGATCGGTCTCAGTCCTCGAAGAAGAAGAAGAATGTCCTAATAATTGAGTTATTTCAAAAACTGTAAGACTACTTTGTGTGCAAACAGAGAGGAATACGGAGGAATATGGGTAAATCAAAAAAGCACATAACTCCGATCAAACAAAAGGAGTCCACACAATCGATTGACAATCAAAGCTAATATCTATCATAGTAGAATATGCTTTCCACCTGATGGCACTGATGAGGGTCACTCCACTTTAAGTTGCCCATAATGAAACCAGATCACTATTTAGAATATTCCTCACAGAAATCGATTGAAAAAATAAAAAAAACGCGTTGAACTGGCTAAGCGTAAAGGCGTAATAACTCATTTTTATAACGAGAAAACGTCAGACCTCACAACTCTGTGATAACGAGTCAAAACTAATTTGGGAACGGATGTTGACCCTATAACCCTTACTAGAAACATATTCTTTCTGCTGCGCCAAAACCATACACAATGTGTTAGACCAGTTTTTCGCATGTTAAACCGTAGAACGCTTCCGAAGTTGAACTCCGCACGCTATCGAAAAATTTCGGGACAAAGCAGTATGTGATTTTGAAGGAGTTTCTCAGGAGACTTCACTGAAAATTTCTTGTGATTTTCTTTGAGTTTTTTTTTTATTTCACCTTTAAAAGAAGACTCTTTTCTAAAGGAAAACTACCCTCTCTACTACTT